ATCTCGATGCCGCGGGCGCGCGCCTGCGCCGCCACCTCGGCCACCCGGTCCTGCGGCCGCCCGTCGGTCACGATCACAGCGACTCGAGGCACGCGCGCCTCCAGCGGGCGCGCGCCTTCGGCCACGCTGAAAGCCACGTTCATGGCGTACTGGATGGCCAGCCCGGTCATGGTGCCCTGCGCCAGCGGCACCAAGGCGCGCAGGGCGCGCTCCATCTCCTCGCGGCGCGAGAAGGCGCCCAGCCGGAAGACGCTCTGCACTTGGCTCGAATACTGGATCACGCCGACGCGCGTGGCGTTGGGCCCCACGTCCAGGCGGCGCAGGAGGCCCACCAGGAACTGCCTCATGGTCTCGAACTCGAAGGGGCGCACGCTGCGCGAGCTGTCAATCACGAACACCAAATCCAGGGGTCCAGTGCGGCACCTGGGACCTGCGAGGAGATGAGGAAGGGCCTTCCCAGGTCGGCGAAGCCTCAGGGCCGAGGAGATCCCCAGGGAAAACCGGGGCGAATGGTACTATCCCTGCAAAACAGCGCCCGCGCGGAATTACCCCAGCAAATGCAAGTTAGAGACAGTCACTCGCCCAGCATTTGCCGAGGGCCCGGGTAGATTTCACCAGTTGTCTATCCTACAGCTCTGAGGGCTATCCTGAGGAGGTATGATCCATTTGGGACAGGAAGGAGTCATGTCGCAAACTCAACTGCCTGTAGGGGCCCGGCACGCAGCATAAACGAGTGAACTGATTGATGGGGTCTGGCGGTGGATCCCAGAGAGCCGTGTCCCTAAAGTGAGCAGCTGCAGCCAAATGCTGCTGCAGGCATGCCAGCCATGTTGGCAGATTCTTTAACTTTCCAAGACAAGTCCCACATCAGGATTTTTATGTGAAACCTCTTTATTTTTTCAATTAACTTTTAAAAATGTAACATCAAATGGGTATTCTGCGTGAGCCCAATTTTGAAATCTCTAAGCCACATCTTACAGATGAGGAGACTGAGGCTCAGAGAGGTGAAAGGGTGAATTTGAACCCAGCCTGGAGGGTTCCAAAGCTCTTGCTTGTCTCTCCCAGCAGGCCTACCTGGCTGCAGATGGAAAGCCTGCTTTTGTTCCTCTCCCCTCGCTGGTGAGGTCTGGGCCCCGGCTCACCTTCGAACTGGAGCTGGGTCTCCCAGGGCTGAAGAAGGAGCAGCAACATGGGCAGTGGTGAGCATGGAAGGCCCCTCATGGCACTTGGGGGGCAGAGAATGGAGGTGTCAGAGCCTGGAGAGAGGAAGGGAGATAGCAAAATAGTAGTATTTGCAGAACTCTCATTCTGGGCGATGGGCACTTGGAGGTGGAGGAGAGTCATGGGTTTATTTTACTAATCTCTCTACTTTTGTGTATCTTCATAATTAATTTTCATTACAGTGGGATTTCTGGGAAACACAAGGCATTCTGCTTTGTAAATAAATATAAGTAGATAAAAACATACACAATTTAAACAGAAACAGCCTTTCCTAAATGCCAGGCACAATGTTAAACGCTTCTCGGGCGTTGTGGCATTTAACCCTCTCGACAGTTGGACAATTCTATGAGACAGGCTGTTATTGTTCCCATTGTACAGATTAGGAAACAGGCTCAAAGAATTTAGGCTCGGATACCCAAAGTCTCGCGACAAGAAAGTGGCTGCGCCGGGATGCAATCCTGTACCTCGGGAGTTCCAAGGACAAGCCAACTGGTCCACGCCCTCGTCTCCCGGGAGGAAAACCTCTGCAGAAGGAAGTCATTCCCCACCTCCTCCCCACACAAGGCGCGTCTGTGTGGCTGTCCTTCACACACACACACACACACACACACACACACACACACACACACACACACACCAGCAGGCCTCAGGGGAGGGCCGTGAGCTCTGGGTTGGGAGGGTAGGGGGTGGGCACTGCGTTGGCCAAATCCCACCACGCACTTGAATTCGAGGCCTGGCGCCTCCACTTCCCGCCTGCTCTCAGGAGAGGCCGCCAGGGGGCGCTTCCCGGGTCTGGCTGCGTTGGCGAGGCGGCCGTGGGAAGCCCACATCTGCCCAGCAGGTGCCCCTGCCCAGAACAAACAGCGAGCCGGGAGCCCCGGGGCCTTGAGATAAGGCCGGTAGGATATATCCGGCGTGAGGGTCCAGGAGCGGGAGTGCGCAGGGTTCCGAGGCCAGCGGCGCGGGAAGCACACAGACGGCTGTGAGCGAGCGGCGGGGGCCTCGGGACGCGGCCATGGACCCTGTGGGGGCAGCAGGTGAGCGCTCACCCTCCCCAGGCCCTTGACGCGGCCCCTTGAGAATCACGAAAGGCTCCCATTGTACAGATGGGGAAACTGAGGCCCGAGAAGGCGGCCCGCTGAGCTGCAAAGGAACCTGCGACTCCTTGCTTCCCTCCTTCCTTTTGAGTTGCCTGGCAACCTGGCGTCTAGGAGCCGCTGACCCCCTTTCCCTTCCATCCACTCCCTCTGCTCCCTGCCCACCCCCACGCCCATGCTGAGGCTGCGTTAGCCATTTTTCTATTGCTGCGTCTTGGTAGAGGGGGGCCAGCCACCCCTAACCCAACCGCAGCCCCGCCCCGCCCCCCAATTCCGTGAATGGGCCTATTCTGAGCAAGGCCGGGTGCCTGCCTCTCACCCGAGGCGGCTTTCCCGTCCCGGATCCTTTCCGCCTGCGCCTTTCAGGCCTGGTAGAGGAACAGAAATCCCTCTGGCAGAGTCCGTCATGGGAGGGTGACCAAGCCAGATGTGCCAGCTGCTGGAGCGGGAAGGTTGGAATGCTTTCTCTAGCTTGGCCCATAGTTGAAGCCAGCACCCCCTGGGGAGCATGGGGGTAAAGGCACAAGGGGCTCTTGCCACCTCTCATCCTTTCCTACTTCCAAAAGCCTCAGGGACCCCAAGTCATGATTAAGGTCCCCCTTATCCTGCTCTTGGCGTGCGTGAGCAAACATCTCACCTGGTACCCTACCTGCACCCCAGGAACTCTAGAAAGTCAAAATAGCGGCTGCCTCAAAGCTCATCACCTTTCCAACCGTACATTCTACAGAGGAAGGCACTAGGTCCTGAGAGGGTAGAGTCTCACCCGAAGTCACACAGCAACGTGGTGACAGGCTGACGCTAGAGCCCAGAGCTGGGGGGGGG